GACCGAGCAAAAAAAAAAAAAAAAAAAAAATCCTCCAAAAATCCAACTTTCGTTTGGGATGAGGGAGGAGGCAAATAGTGGTGGTGAGATGTGGATGAATGAATGAATGAATGTATTTATCCACGACCCCACTGGGGGTATGGGAACTTGGCTCAAATATGCATAATATGTACACAATACACACAGGCTTCATACACGTGTCCAGGCGCAGCTGGACATGCATAGTTAGCGTAGTTAGCGACTCCCACTATTTGTACATTTGTCAGTACTAGTGCTACACATGAGCGCATACACACGCATACACACACAAAAACAAATACACATACCTTTGATTACATCGCAATCCGACATGTTGGGGGTTGGGGGGGGGGGGGTAGAGTCTGAGAGAAGGGAGATGGGCTGGGGGGGGGGGGCACTTGAGGCTGCAGATTTATGGAAAGGCATCGGTGATGTGCTGGATAAGCCTAGATAGGCGGTGAAGAAGTGTCTTCTTGTTTGTCGAGAAGAGAGCCTTAAATTTAGTTGTGTCGGGATATTTCCAATAGTAGGGCGGGAGCAGAGATGTCCGCTGATCTTTGAAGGCCGGGCATTCCAAAACGTAATGAAATTCATCACCAGGCTTGTTGCTTGAGCACTTTTGACATGCTTTCCAGGTTGAGTTATGTTGGCGTCTGCTTTCGGTGATTGGCAGATTATGGTTGCCACAGCGGAACCGAGAGATTGTACGTCGGCCTTTCAGTCCTAAAATTGTTAAGTACGGTTCAAATCTAAGAGATTCTTTAAAAATTCGATAATTTATGCACAGAGAGTTCGTATGCACAGATTCCGCCCATGTTTGTGTCTCTATGTCGACAAGGCGCGTTTCGAGGGTCATTATCACCTCGGCGTTATTGACAGGGTCCTGAAGCCAGTAATTCCCAAGCCCTGCGTTGTCCAGAATACTTTTCACACTAGACAGCCAGTGTGGATTGAAGTCTGAATTTTGAAGCTTTTTTAACTGCAATTCCATCAATATCCGAGAAAGTTTGCGCGTGCTCCCATTTTTTAACCTTAGCCAGAAGCCAATGACCCTTTTCTTAATTATAACCTTCAGGGGTATTCTCCCGAATTCTCCATATGCCATGCAATTTGCTGAGTACTTGCTGATCTGTAACAGATGTTTTATGAATTTCTTGTGAAAGTTTTCCAAATGTTGCACATGATCTAGTCCCCAAATTTCGCATCCATACAATAAAACCGGAACCACCATCTTATCAAATAATTCGCAGCAAGTATTCAGAGGAAGATGAAGAGCTGCTGACATCGAACATACTTTAAAAAGGGCTCGATTAGCCAGTGCCACCTGTTTGAGGACAGCAGCCTTCATTGAGCCATTTGACGAGAACATGGTCCCCAGATAGTTGTACTCAGGGACTATTTCGAGTGCCTCGCCTCCGAGATGGAAAGTTGGCGCCTTTCTTACCCTGCCTCTTGAGAATATAATGACTTTGGTTTTTGCAGTATTGACCTGTAATTGCCACTCTTGGCAGTAGCTATGCACAGCGTCTAATGCTGCCTGTAACTCTGCTGGTGATTCGGCAAGCACAACTGTATCATCGGCGTAAAGTAGACAGAATATTCTAACAAAATATTCCACATCATCATCGCTCAATGCTTCCCTTATTTCCTCGCTGAGAAAATCAAGGCCTTTGAATTTTTTGGAAATCGATAGCTCGAAGTCATTCAGGTAGAGCGCAAAAAGAAGAGGCGAGAGATTTTCACCTTGTCTGACGCCGATGTTGCAGGAGAATACATCTGAGACATCGTCTCCTTCTCGGACACACGATTTGGCATTGGCGTACAGGTTGTAAATTACTCTGAAAATTTTACCGTTAATTCCATTGGAAATCAGTTTTGACCAGAGCATTGCTCTGTTGACCAGGTCAAATGCTTTTTTGTAATCAATGAAGGCACAGTAGAGGCGCTTGTGGTGGAAGGAGTAAAACTCAATTATAGACTTCAGAACAAAAATATGATCAAGTGTGGAGTGGTTAGACCTGAAGCCTGCTTGTTCGTCACCGATCACACCTTTGCCCTCAATATACAGTGTTAGTCTATGGTTTATGACTGCTGTGAATAGCTTCCCCAGGCAGCTTAAAAGGGTAATTCCTCTATAGTTGTCTGGGTCATCAGGAGAGCCTTTCCCTTTGAACAGTGGTCTGATTATACCGATAGTCCAGTCTGCTGGCACAACACCAGACTCCAGGACTAGGTTGAACATTTTTGTTATGCAGCTGACAAGCGTGTTAGGCGAATGTTTCATGAATTCATTGCGAATTCCGTCGATCCCACAGGCTTTGTGGTTTTTCAGTCTCTTGATTTGTATGCCTATTTCACACTCTTCAAAGGGAGCATTTATAACATCACAGATGCTGGAGCTATCAACCCTGGTCAGTGGATCAATTTGTGCATCTGCCAGGGCACTGGGATCAGAGTTCAGTTTTTTAAAGTGGGCCATGAACGTTTGAATTGGGACTGAAGAATGGTTCGCTCCATTACGCAGCGGTCCTTTGAGAATGTCCCAATACTCCTTTGCATTATGTTGCCTCACCTGTTTGAGTTTCTTATTTATCTCGACATTGTACCTTCTCTTGGTATCCTCTATGGTTTTTTTTGTATGATTTTGCAAGCTCCAGTACTTGAGATTTGTGGGCATCAGAATTTGTTAGTTTCAGCTTGTTTTTGGCAGATAGGTATTCTTTTCACTTGGCTGCACAGGTAGAATTGAACCATGGTTTGGTAGAGTCTTTGGCTTTCCGATGTTTTGGGTTTGGCATATCAAAACGCTTAGTCTTAGTTTTGCACATTCCACGTGCCCTGGCAGGGTGCAGTATGGTTTCACATAGTTTGTCTGTCAGGTGATTCACGGTGTCACTGGAAGCCTCCTGTGATTGCTCCATGATATTGTCTAACTCTTCTATCAAACGTTGGATGCTATTTTCATCAAAGCTAGCTAAGAAAGAGTCTGCAAGCTCGCTTTTCCATTGCGTATGCAACAGTGTTCTCCCTAGGGTAGTGTCATGTATCGTCTCACAATGGGCGTCAGGAGCACCTGTCTTGGCTGTGGTGTTGGTATGTTTCTTACATGTAAGGTGCATGACCAGTGGGCAGTGAACATCTGATAAGCATTTATCCAGCACATCTACCTCAAAGAATGTGATGTTAGGAAGGAGACATGCTGACATTATCATGTAGTCAATAACACTTTGACCATTTGCATTTGTACAGGTATAGCTTCCTACTCCAGTATCCTTTCCAAACCTGCCATTAACAATTTTTAGATCTGCAGCCTTCAAACATTGGAGGAGTTGATATCCATGGCGATTGGCTACGTGATCAAGACTATGACGTTCCATGTCGATACCTAATTGGCTAAGGGCATTTAGGGATTCAAATATATCACTATCTTGAGGTGGTAAATCAGATACATGGGCACTTTCAAATGGTACACTGTCACTCACTAGCCCAGTCCTAGCATTGAAATCACCAAGAAGTATAACAGGTAGGTCATATCTGCCAGTTAGGTTTGTGAGATCAAGAAGGAGGTCATCAAACATACTTTCTTGGACATACTTTGAACCTTCATGAGGAAAGTAAGCAGCACCTAGAATAAATCCTTTCCCAAATGCCTCTTCCTTTACATGGATCCATTGGACGAGGGCAGAACGCATTTCTGAGATAGCTACAACATATTTACAATACACAGATTTCACTAAAATACATACACCATGTACTCCACCATATGGGAAACACTTTGTTCTATTCTCCAGTGGTATAGCTGTATAGCCTACAAACCAGTTTTGGTCAATCAAGTCAGTTTTAGTTTCGGTCAGGCATACTATATCAAATAGTGTGACAAAGCTATCCAATACTCCATATTTGAGCTTACTACGAAGTCCATTTACATTTAGACTTAGGAATTTAGCTTCAAAGTTCTGAGGACTTTTACAGTATCCGTGATCAGAGAAAAAAGAGGCACTTACAGGTTTTGGTACACTACATGCACTATTGGTTGTGTGTTTTTGCTTCCTTGGCCTGGAGACACAGGCCAGACGGGAGTCGCCTGTCTCCTAGGCGTAGAAGGGCCTCATTTTTTCTTCGCTCCACCCCAGGTGGAACAAATCATCAGGTGAGTCGATGACCACTTTCTTCTCTTTGCCACCAGTAGTGGCTATGCAGTGCAGTCGGCCATCTCTGGTCCACACGGCACTGATGTCTGGGTCCTTCCTCAGACTGTGGTACATCCTTGCTCTGAGTGGAGTTAGGTCCTCATCGATGAAAATCTGCTTCTTCTTGGCTTTGAGGACTTTTTTCGCCCGCATCAGTTCAATTTTCATCTCCTTGCGGACGAATCTGACGATGACTGGGGCAGTAGAGTTGTTTTTTGCTTGGAGGCGGTGTGAAGTGCTGATGTCATCAAGATGAGCTTGGATGAGCTTGGAGGAGCGACGGGAACGATTTTTTGAAACGGGAGGAGGTTAGAGGAGCTTGGAGGAGGTTGGAGGAGCGACGGGAACAGACCCTTCACAAATGTCTCCTTAGCCATCAACTCTTTTCAGCTGATTGTCGTCAAGGTCGCGCGATTCTGGCCGTATGATATATTATTTGTTTAAGAAAAATTAGGAAAAAAGATAAAAAAGGTTATTTTTTAAAGAAATTTACAACCTGAAAAGAAAAAAAGGAAAGTAATTGAAAGAAAATTCTTAAACAAATTATAATTTTTCACTTTTGTCTCTAAACGTTGTGATACCCTGAAATGATTTCACGACAGTGCTTATTACAAGCTGTGATTGGATATCATTTCCATGTAATTATTACATTTGCAAGACATTTTGAAAAGCTTTTACAACTTTGAATGTGCAAATCTTACTTCAAATATCATTTATGATGAAAACACAATCAGCTGGTATTCAGCCTTGAAACTAGTCAGCTGTCATAATAGATCGCTGCAGTGACTTGCTATTGAAAAGACTGGCGACGGCTCAACCAGCTGAAAGCGTAGATGCTGTGCAATGCCCGGAGAGTGTGAGGTTTGGGGTTGTGAGGTAATAGAGTCAGTGATTGCCAACGGCTAAAATCAATTTTGTGTTATTAATCGGTGCCGAATCCATATTATCCATTATACCCTGCACAAGGTGTGTATTAAAAGGTGTTATATCCTTGCATACCAGTGGTGTGTCTGTGCTTTGTTTTCATTATTGTGACATTCATCAGTGTGAGTTTTCTTTGTTCAAAGAATGGCAGTGCAGCCCATAAAGTGCATCATGACCTTAAAATAATGATATGATATAGGTATGTTAAGATATCAGCACGGTCACCACAGTCAACACTCCACAGGGTGCTAACATCCGTCATTCAGCATAATGAAGTACCTAACTAGTGATAGTGATTTATCATGAAAGTGGGGGCATTGGCATAGTGGAAAAAGTAATCATCTGTTCATCCTGCTCTTACTGCAAGTGTTCTGAATGCATCCTGATTCTCTGCATTGCAACTTAACTTGGTTTGGTGTGGTGTCTGATTGGTATTGGTACCTACCTATCACTATCGCATGCAGATACCATACATTGCATCATTGCAGTTGCTTTTCACTTATGTTGTGAGTTAAGTCCATGATGTCTGACATTTATGGAGAAGACAGAGACTCCTATGATGCCTGAATCCTAATTTGAGATCTTAAAATACCATTGTTTTTGGCAGAAATTCATAGAAACATTCTCTATATACTGCTTATAGAGGCAAGATATTCTTAGCCAGTGATATTAATTGCTCATGGGGTGTCCATACTCATCTCCCTCAGGTATCTGATGAGGGCAGAGCAGAGTTGATCCCCATAGGAATCAGGCCTCAGGGTACATGTGGAGTAGGATCCAGGACCATCCAGGGTGTAAATAAAGTTTGGATCCATCCAGCATATTTGTGCAGTGCAGATCCTTGTGGTACATGTGGAGTAGGATCCAGGACCATCCAGGGTGTAAATTAAGTATGGTTCCATCCAGGGTAGGTACTTATTTTAGAGTGGGGGTCAATCCAGGGTATTTGTTGAAGGTGGATCCTCCCAGGGTATCTATGAAGTGTGGATCCATCCCAAGCATGTATTTTGAAGTGTGGTGTGCATCAATTCATGCTATGTTTGAAGTGTAGATACATAAAACCAGGGTGTATGTAGAGTGGGGATACCTCCTGGATATTTATGAAGTGTGGATCCCCCCAGAATCTAGCTAGGGTATATGTGGAGTGGGGATCTATCCAGGACCCACTCAGTATGAAGTACCCACTCACTGTCAGGCCCACTCTCTCACTTAACTCTCATTGTTGTCACTGTTGAAAGTTTAACTCTGTTCTGGCTGTTGAAAGTATAACTCTCCCTGTTCATTTGCCACTGTTGAAGATGCAACTCTGGCTATTACTACTGTATTCCATGCAGGTGACTACTGCACCTCTGCACTATTGAAGGTTTCTGGACCAGTAGTGAGTGAACCCTATGTATCTGACACTGTATGGACCTGTAACCCCTCTCTACTGTCACTTTTGCAGGGGACAGTCGCTGGACCGGCAGTGACCCCTATGTATCCGACACTGTATGGACGTCGGCATGCCAGAACAGTGAGTATACCACCGCAGTAGGTACGACCGCGGACCGCCGCCGGGCGACTGTGGGCACACGTCCTGTATGTATGTATGCATGTATGTATTGACATCACAAGCCTTCCACATACACAGCGTGGCGATTACGGCTTGTTCTGTACGGTACTGTACGGCTTGTCCTGTTCTGTCTTGTTGTCTAACGCTCTGACCACAACGCAGGCTAGGCACGTTTGTAAGCCCCAGTTCCACACCAAATACCAATGAGGACTTTGTTTGAGTGTGCCGTCAGATCAAATCATCCCAACGCCAGGACGCGGGTTGGAATGTCGCTTGCCCCCTCCCCCCCCCAACGCTCTCCTTGTCGAAATGATATTGTTCCGGCCAGGGGAATGCGATGTCGTTTAATGTTTTGAACGGTTCCGGATCCCAGTATATTTTAACGGTTCCAGCTGGGAGTCGAATGTACCGGCTCCGCAATGCTGGTCGAGGTCCTGGTGTTTGGCAGTCTGAGATATCGCTCCGCCATCCGTGGCCGCTATGTGGCCCGAAGCCTTTCAGCGGCGTACAGCTGGCTTCCTCCCGTCGGTGACCAGACAATGCCATGGTTTTTGCCGTGAAACGCCTTTGAATTGGGTTTCTCGGGGGTCGCTGTAGGTCAGTTTCGCCTACTCCTGCTCTCTGCCAGAGAAGGCGAAATCACCAGCGCTAGAAAACGCCACCCAGTATTTGAGGGCGCAGGGAATTTAAACCTCAGCTGGATATGATTTTGGATATATTTTTACCCCGTTATCAACCTTGCACACGGTATACGTCGTTTCTTTATCGAATGTCGAATCCGATCGTCGCCGATCGCATCAGTGTCTGCAGTCCATAGAACCTACGTCGCCGTCTTGTTTAGCACCACTTTGAATGTCGGCGGACCACTCAGCTGTGGCCGGTGGGATGCACGCGAACCTTCCGAAGCCGGGCCGCGCAGTGTTTTTAGTCGCGTTGTTTGGCTTCACGGGTCCGCCTCTGGAGCCCTACGTTCCGTCTTCCGTTCTAGCGTCGTCTGCCTCAATCACAGCTGAGTTACTGTTCATCTGGTGCGGTTGGTTTTACCTGGGATGGTTTGCGACTGCCGTAGTTACCAGTTGTTGTGCTAATGTCCGTTAATGTAGGCTATGATGTGTTCAGCGTATTTTGTCTGCTATATTTTACTAATATAGTTATTTCGTTTTCAGTTGAGTCCTGTGCACCTCAATACTGATATACTCCAGTTCAGTGTGCCTGTGATCAGCTTACCCATGTCCCGTGTACCTTTGACTGATAACTTCAGCCGATGTGTAACTGCGACATTTTTATGTCGGTGCCCATGCCCCAGCACAGCTTCCGTTCCCACCTGTGTACCCCTAGTACTATTGTGTGACCGATATACGCCGAGTCGGCACCTGTTCTGACGGTGCGCCGTTGCAGCGGTCCGGACACTGAGCCGCCCGAGGGCGTCCCGTCGGGCCCGGCGCAGGATCAGGTGGTCACCCCGCGGCCGCCGGCCGGCCACCGCTACGGCGAGCTCGTCATACTCGGGTGAGTCACACTGGGAAGCTAAAGACCCCACTGGGCACCAGGTACAGTAAATAATATGTAGTTGTGGGTCATTGAGGGTCGTCCGCAGTAAAGGCTGCAGTGTACGGTGCGAGTCATGTGGATACAGATAGTCATGGGTCGTCTGCCGGGTAGAGGCTGCAGTGTGGTGCGAGATAGTCGGCATTATGGATAGTCCCTAGCCGTCCGTCCGTCCGTCCGCGGTAGAGGCCGCAGTGTGGTGTATGTATACGAATTCGTTCATCATTGGCCGTCCGCCCGCGGTAAAGGCTGCGCCGGCCGTCCTATCTGCGCGGGCACGGAGGCTGCGGCCGGAACTGCCGCCAGAACTTCCTGCCGGCCGGCTCAGCGGAGCACGGCTTTCCTCCCGGCCGACGGTCCGTTTTTCCCTGGTCCCTGACCCCAGAGCGGCTGTGTTTAGCTGTGTGCACCGGAGACGCCTGAGAGCGGCTGTGAGAGCGCCTCAGAGCGGCTGTGAGTGACAGCGCGCCGGAAAACTCCCGACCGACACCGAGCTGCGTCCAAGCGGCCCGGCCGGGTGTGCGTGCGTATGTGCGTGTTACGCTCATACTGCGAATGAGTTGCGAGTTACGCTAGTGTTGCGTGTGTGCTACGTGCTTGTGCACATGTGCACGTGATGGTGACGTCTGTGCGCTCGCCGCCGGCAGGTACAATGGCATCGTGGCTCATGGCGACAAGGACCGTCGGCCGTCCAAGTTCCTGCTGCATAAGCGGGTGGCCGCCAATGGAGTCAAGCCGGCCCGCTACTACGAGGTCAAGCAGCCACAGATGTCCCAGGTGAGCCGGCTGCTGGGACCACGGGGAGGCAGCAGCGAAACGCTGCCACACCGGCAGTCTAGGCCGATATGTCGATATATATGTACCAGCAGTGAGACTCCGCCACCCTGGCAGTCCAGGCCGATATAATATCGACCCATACCAGCAGTGATACTCTGGCCGCCCGGCGTTCAGGGCCGATATAATGTCGACACATACGTGCAATTAGACTCTGGCCGCCCGGCGTTCAGGAGCACAACGGGTACAGAGGATCGCTCGGTGAGCTGCTTGTGGGACCGGTACTCATTGCTGGCTAATCCGAGTTGCGCAATATTTCTCTAAGATACATCTTAATATTTCTCTAAGATACATCTTAGAGAAATATTGCGCAACTCGGATTAGCCAGCACTGAGCACCGGCCCCACAAGCAGCTCACCGAGCGATCCTCTGTACCCGTTGGGCTCCTGAACGCCGGGCGGCCAGAGTCTAATTGCACGTATGTGTCGACATTATATCGGCCCTGATCGCGGGGGTTAAAGTTATATTGGGAGACGCTTAAGTATTTTTTTTTTTGCGCCAGCCCACCGCTGAATCTACTATACTATTTGTGAAATGAAACTCTGTATGTGTTTCTGTGTGTTTGCACCGTGCAGAGGGGTGCTTTGACGCCGTGCACAGGTCAAACGGTGCGGTCGATTGGGCTGAAATTTTCGCAGGGTGTTGATGACGTCACGCGCACGTGCAGTGTCGTGTTTCGTGTCCCAGGGGGTGGATGGTTCGCACGTGGCACGCGCTGGAAAAAGGTGCATTTTCTCCAAATTTTGCTCGAATCTCAAGGCATCGGCAGCCGGGTTCAATGGACTTTGCAACTAAAATGCATGGCAAGCGGCGGCGGGTGCCTCTCATTTACGGATTGGCAGCTTATTTATTTTGATAAACAGAGGCGAATGAATATGTTGATTTTCGTTAAATTAAGACAGTTTTCAATGCGCTTAACCGAATGCACCACGTTTACCACAATGCGTCACATTTGTCTCAGGGCGTCATTTTTGCCGCAAATTGCACAACGTTGTCAAATATGGTCCGATAAAGGTGCAATTCGGTGGAAGGAAGCATGGCAAAACGACAGGAATAAATGCACCACTTTTGTCGCAATGCACCACATTTGTCACAAGGCGCCATTTCAACCAAATACGATGAAGAATAATGGAATGACAAGAGTAGGAGAAGGGTTAGGAACTCTTTTTTTAGTTTATCAGTTAATCTGATAGTCTGTGACCTCACATGACCCAGTGGTAGTGGTAGGTGTAGTGGTAGTGGTAGTGGTAGTGGTAGTGGTAGTGGTAGTGGTAGTGGTAGTGGTAGTGGTAGTAGTAGTGGTAGTAGTATTGGTAGGGGTAGTGGTAGGGGTAGTGGTAGGGGTAGTGGTAGGGGTAGTGGTAGGGGTAGTAGTGGTAGGGGTAGTAGTAGGGGTAGTAGTAGTGGTAGGGGTAGTAGTAGGGGTAGTGGTAGGGGTAGGGGTAGGGGTAGGGGTAGGGGTAGGGGTAGTGGTAGGGGTAGTGTTAGCGGTAGTGGTAGGAGTAGTGGTATGGGTAGAAATAGTAGAAGTATGGCCCAGGCCGATCCAATATGACGTGGTGACCTATACGACCTGGCCTGACCGAAGGTGACGTGGCTTGACCCAATGTGACCAATGATGACCAACTTGGCCTGACTTGACCCCGTATGACCCAAATTTCATCCAGCTAAGCCCTCAGAATAGTTATTACGTTCAAAATTTTCCACTGCACGTTTCCGTCCATATCTCTGCTTCCAAACGACAGATCAATTTAAATCCAATACCATTCGAAAGCAAATTGGATGCGCCGCATTTTATTACTACGCCGCGAAGCAAGTGGCGCAGCCGCTTGTCTACTATACTATTTGTAGAATGAAACTCTGTGTTTCTGTCTGTTTGCACCGTGCAGAGGGGTGCTTTGACGCCGTGCACAGGTCAAACGGTGCGGTCGAGGGGGGTGAAATTTTCGCAGGGTGTTGATGACGTCACGGGCACGTGCAGTGTCGAGGTTCGAGTCCCGGGGGGTGGATGGTTCGCACGTGGCACGCGCTGGAAAAGTGCGTATTTCTTTTAAATTTTGCTCGGTCTTCAAGGCATCGGCAGCCGAGTTCAATGGACTTTGACAATAAAATGCATGACGATCGGCGGCGGGTGCCTCTCATTTGCAGATTGGCAGCTTATTTATTTTGATAAGCAGAGGCGAATGAAGGTGTTGATTTTCGGTAAATAAAGACAGCTTTTAATGCGCTTAACCGAATGCACCACGTTTGCCGTAGTGCGCCACATTTGTCACGAAGTGCCATTTTTGCCGCAAAATCGCACAACTTTGTCAAATATGGTCCGATAAAGGTGCAATTCGGTGGAAGGATGTATGGCAGAACGGCAATTACAAATGCATCACTTTTGTCGCAATGCGCCACATTTGTCACAAGGCGCCGTTTCCACCAAATACGATTGAGAATAATGGAATTACACGAGTAGGAGCACGGTTAGGAACTCTTTTTTTAGTTTATCTGAAAGTCTGTGACCTCACATGACCCAGTGGTAGTGGTAGGTGTATCTATACTACTATTTGAACAGGATCCATCTGTCTGTCTGTCTGTTTGTCCGCCACGCTGTGTAGTGGGTTCAATTTAGCCGGCCTACAGGGCAGACGGTACGGCGCAGGGGGCTGAAATTTGCACACCTTATAGGTGACAGAGCGCGTCAGCGCCTTTTCTAGGTTCCGACTCGCTGGGGTGCACGGTTGGCACGTGGCGGGCGCCGGAAGAACGCCAATGAAATTTTGATCGGTTCGTAGATCTTCATTGAGAGCCGGGGTCGACAAACTTTGTAAACTAAATGCATGCCGATCGGCGGCGGGTGCCTCACATTGGCGGATGGGCAAGTTTTTAATTTGAATAAAAATGGGGCGAGAGAATGTGTTGATTTTCTTTCAATGGGAACAGTTTGCGATACGAGTACACAAATGCACCGTGTTTGCCGCAATGCGCCACATTTGTCTCAGGGCGTCATTTTTGCCGCAAATCGCACAGTTTTGTCAAATATGGTCTGTTAAAGTTGCAATTTGGTGCAAAGATGCATGCTCAATCACCGGGTGAAAATGCGCCACGTTTGCCGCAATGCGCCACATTTGTCACAATGCGCCATTTCCGACAAATACGATTAAGCGTAATGGAATGGCACGAATAGGGGCAGGGCTGGGAACACTTTAAGTCTGATATTTTAGTACTGATTGGATCCAATTATTCTGTGACCTGACATGACCCAGCTGTGTTGGTAGGGGTAGTGGTAGGGGTAGTGGTAGGGGTAGTGGTAGGGGTAGGGTAGTGGTAGGGGTAGGGGTAGGGGTAGTGGTAGGGGTAGGTGTAGTGGTAGTGGTAGGGGTAGTGGTAGTAGTAGGGGTAGTAGTAGGGGTAGTGGTAGGGGTAGTGGTAGGGGTAGTGGTAGGGGTAGGAGTATGGGTAGTAATAGTGGTAGGGGTAGTGGTAGGGGTAGGGGTAGGGGTAGTGGTAGTGGTAGAGGTAGTGGTAGTGGTAGGGGTAGGGGTAGTGGTGGAGGCAAAAGCAGAACAGTGGCCCGGGCTGATCCCAGCGGACGAGAGGTGACCTATGTGACCTGGCCTGACCCAAAGTGACCGGGGCTGACCCCTTTGACCCGCCTTGACCCCGTATCACCCAAATTTCATCCAACAAAGCCTTCAGAACAGTTCTTTTTAAAGTCTTTTCACATTTCCGTCCATATCTATGCTTCTAGACGACACATCGACATGAATCAAACACCATTCGAAAGCAAATTGGCTGGTGCCGCAAATTTTTCTACCACGCAGCAAAGCAAGTGGCGCAGCCGCTTGTCTAAATACTATTTGAGTAGCTTTGCGGGTTTTTTGAAGCGTTCAGTTTTTGCAGCGAGGTTTTTCTCTTGGGGCTTGCGAGATAGGACGTGACAGACGCATTCACTCAGCATTACCGTGACAGACGTCCTACGGCACGAGGAGAATCTTCTGGGGCTCCGTCAGCTACGCAGAAAGGACCAGACGTGCAGGTTAGTAGAAACGAGTGTGGCTGAAATAAAGCCGTATGACCATGTCCGATGTGATGGAATCAAACGAGACGATTTTTAAAAATTGTTTGCCACCGTCGAAAACACGAAAAATTCAAATCTCCCTCTTCCCCCCCTCTCTCGATTTGGTAGCTACTACGTTGGTATATACTAGGTTGCGAAAAAAAAGTACAAGAAATACATATATTTTGCCTAGCTTAACTCTTTTATTCAAATCAACAAAGTAATTCTAAAACATCTGTAAAGAAGAAATGGCGCCATACATGATACTTTTCAATTTAGCAAAATCCATACCAGAATTCATCCCAAGTCTATATTACTATTTGAGGAGGGTGCGTCTGTCCGTTACCGAGGGCCCGACTTGGTGGTGCTTTGCGTGGACTACAGGCAAGACCGTTGCACCTAGCCCGGTGAAATTTGCACAACTTATAGATCAAGGATGCGCGACGTGCCTTTGAGGGGTCTCAGCTCGATCGGATTGATAGGGAACGCGTGGCGCGTGCTCAAAAAGTGCAAATTCGCGTCATAGACTTTACATGTATAAGTCGGCGTGCGAAATCGGGCGAAAACGGCTAATTTTGTCCGACACGGGTCCAGTACCCGTGCAATATCTTGGTGACCAGGGGTCCGATCGGCACGGAGAAAACAGCATCGTGTAGATAATTGAGTGTGCTGTCGAATGGTGTACGATGCAGAGGCTGGCACGTGCCAAGTGCACCCGTGAGGGCACTTTTGTTGAAAAAATGCGGTTTTTGACGGATTTTGGAATTGATTTTATTTTTAGGTGACCGTTAAACAGAGCGAGTTGAAACAAAGCCTGTTGGCAAGAGAAATCTACCGCCTCTCAGGGGAAAATTGTGAATAGCTAATTGATCGATGCCAAGGTGGTACAAATCACGGGAGAAAATGGTGTTTGTCGATGATGTGCCACTTTATTATTCACACGGGTTTTGCTGTATAACCTGATACGTTTGGCAGTTGAAAATGGTACCGTTGGAAAGAGCATTCAATTCTGTCCAAGGCTCAATCTTCATTTTTACATTATAAGCAACAGTATTCTTAAAAATGTAAATGTTCCAAACCATTACATTGTCATTTTTAGCGAAATTCATCGATGGCCCTCAAAAGACTTCACGCAGTTTTCGAATCATTCTTAAGTAGAACGCATGATAATACGACACGGGCACCTCGATGCGATGGATCTTTTTTGTTTCATGACAAAATGCTTGACCGTCAAAAAGCGATCGCACGAAATGGATACCAACCAAATCGACACAGGACCAACCCAACACCCACGGGTCAAAAATTACTCTTCCTCGCATTGCGGAGCACGCGGGTCACCCTAGTATTCACTGTTTTATTTAGTTACAAATGAAATAAACTAAATTAAACTGAACTGAGTTCGGCCGAGTGGCGATGTTACCGGTCCTGTTACTCGGTCCGTACTCCGTATCGGCCTCGGCGCCTGCGTCACAGACGGTGTGACGTCAGACGGGTCTCTGGTCTCAATTGGTGGGGCGGTAGGTGCCACTCTCAGCTGACGCGGCCCGTGCCACAATCAGCTGGCACGGCCCGTGCCACAATCAGCCGTCGCGGTCCGTACGGCCCGTGCCGTCTCAGCTGACACTGTCAGTCAGCTGACGCGGCCCGTGCCACAATCAGCTGACGCGGCCCGTGCCGCTCTCAGCCGACACTGTCAGCTGACGCGGCCCGTGACCTGCCGAGTCGCTGTGCTAAGGGGCCCCGGTAGACCGAGTCCAGGGTATATTGAATGAAGGTCGAGTCGTCCGCCAGCCACCCATCTGCGGCTGCAGGGCCGGCGCCACCCCTTCAGCGCTGTTACTGGTGGCTAACCGGATCGGACGACCCACCCGTCCGCGACCGTGACCACATCGGGGCCGATAGCGCGCCGTGACGTCACGACGATAGAGACGCGAGCCGCCGATACCGACGGACTACCGTCAGCGCGGAGAGGTGCCGCGTCAGCCTGAGAGCTGCTCGAGCTGCCCGGATCGAGACCCATTGTAACCGCTCACAACAGGTCACAGAGAGGTGTTATCGGAGTAGCCCAGTCTGAGCCTCGGGACGATACACTACTGGGTTCATTGTTTGCTGTTTATCATACACGCCATAAATGATAGGCTTGATATACGACTTAGTGCAAAGATGTGGGCTAATCACAAACGCCTCGTCAACAAAACAATACGAAAACAGAATACTAACGGAAAACACTCAATAGGCCATGTGCGCCATACCGCCACTATGCCACATTTCCCTGGCCTCCAGCACAATCTATACTCCTGCAGGCTGATGACGCCACTGATCTTGTAAGATAATGACGCAACTGTCCGCCGAAGTCCATCACTCGTCACGGGTGCGGCGCCGTACCGTCACGGCCGGGGCGCCCCGCCAGCTCTCCCCACGGGCTCCGTCGCGTTCTGACGGCGGCCGGCCGTGCCGTCATGCGCTGGTATTGGGGCGACTGGCGGCGGTACGTGAGTGACTGGTCGGCGGGCGGCCGCAGAGCAGGGCAGGGCCCGCCTCAGGAGGACTGCACCCCTGGCTGCCCGGTCCCCGTGGCAGCGCCCGCACCTCACCACAGCAGCTGACAGGGTGGGGTTGTGACTTATTGACCCATTTCAGTACGTGGCGGACAGTGATCGGTATTGTTGTTGTTGTTGTATTGCACGATTAGCTGGCTTGTGGCCGGTGCATTGCTGTGTGACTGCTGTCCAGTTTATTGATGGTTACGGCGTGTGGCTGTAGCTGACGACCCGCGGCGGTCACGGCGCCGTGCGCCTGTGTCAGTTGCGACTGTATCAGTCAGTGGCGGTATTTCACGGCGCCGTGCGACTGTGCCAGTGGCGGTATGTTGCGGCGCCACGGCGACATTTGTGACTTTAGACGTGACTCAGACAGCCGGGCCCCGCAGCTGCCGGTCGGTCACCGGTGTCCACGGACCGTGAATCAGCCGTGTCTGTCTGTGTCGTCGGTGAACTTTGTAACACCGTTCAGGTGTTTGTGTCAGTCCCTCCATTGACACAGTGTTGTGTGTGTGTCAGTCCCTCTAATGTTGCGGTGTCAGTATCTGTAATGACACGATGTCAGTTGTGTTAGCTATTAATCAGTTCCTCCAACGACGATGTGCCGTTTTTGTCACTCCTTTCGATGACATGAAGTCGCATGTGTCAGTCCCACCGATAACACGGTGCCGTATGTGTCAGGCCTTTCGTTGACACTGTGACAATGCCAGTCTGTTCAGTCGCTCCCATGATACTATCTTGTGTGTGTTAGTTATCCGATCACACTGTGCCCGTATACACGTGTACCAGTCCCTCTGTACCCTCGTTTCGTGTCACCCCTCTGAATACACCCTCTCGCCGTCCGGTTGCAGGCCGTGCGGGACCGGTGTCAGCACAGCGTCTCGTACACACTCTCCAGGCACAAGGCCATCATCGTCGAGTACGCGCCCGATCCGGACACCGACCTGTTTCAGGTGAGACAGCGCGGCTGTCAGCGGCACGAACGGGTACGGAGTGGATACCATACGGATACTGAACGGAGACTGTTCGATCTCTGACCCTGATACTGCTCGATACTTCTCGTCCCTCGACCTGGATCCTGAGTGATTTCTGACTCGGATACTGATTTATCCCTGATCCGAATGATGCTGTGTTAATCATGTATGTATATTCCTCGGATGTCTATCCGTAGGTTTGGATCAATTAATGATTAAGGTTTGTCCGAATATTGTCCGGACACTGTCCTGGATACTGCCCGAATGCTTCACGGATACCGTTCGATCCGTATTAGACTCCGACAAATGGGTCCAGGTCCGGAGCGTGCTAACCCGATCTCGGGGTGTGACCGAGCCGGTGAGCCGCAGCCCCGGCCCCTGAACACGAGTCGTCGGTCTCGGGTGTCGCTCCGACCGGCGGCTCAGCTGGGGGGTGATGACGGCTGCTCACCGGTGCCGGGCGGCTCTGGTGGCAGGGGGGGGCGTCTCTGAGGGAGGGGGGGGGGGGACTGACGGCCCGGCACGGGTGGCGGCGCCGGACAGGTGCCGCCGGCCCCGTGTACCGGGCGGCGCGGCACTACCCTGTCAACGGGCTCAGCCCCGGCGACTCTCTAGGGTGTCTGCCCAGACCAATGTCTCCCCCTGATTCCTATCATCCTTCCGGCCCTGAAATGGTCTCTTCAGACCGGAAGGGCGTAACCCAACAAAACAAACAAACTACCTTGTCAGCCGGTACCACCCTGTGTCCTGACCCGGTCACACGGTCCCTCCGTCTCCGGCCGGCGCCGCCCGCCGCAGCACCGTTCGGGTGTCACATTACACCGGCGGCACCCCAGTCAGTCGGCCGAGTCCATTTGTCCGTGATGGAATTGACTGAATCGCAGTAGCACAGGGGTCCTTGAGTGTCACGCAGGCTCCGTTGTTTTCTGCAGCGCGCTAAATAGGAACGGATCCGCGTGGCTGTGTTTTTGTCCGCGTCTCGTTTTTGCAATGTTTGAGCGTTAGGGAACTTATTTGACCCCAATGCGTCTATCGGTGGCAGCAGGCTATACCACTGGTATTAAAGTACCAGACTAGCCCTCTGTCTGTAACTTATGACGGGTGACTAACCTGTACTAACCTCACAAAGTGTGTACGGCTGAACTTGCCTGCGTTACTGGCAACACTCTTATATGCCACCCCGTTTACCCCTGCCCTAGCGAGCAGAACCTCAACATAGCCCGTGATGCGTATTACTCCGTGCGGTGTTCCCTCCATGTGACTTCCGCCTGGCCCATGTCACCTTCACCTATCCCGGGTGCGGGATGGCTCCATGTGACGTTCGCCTATCTCTCCGACTGTACTTCGAGCCTTTCTGACATTCATCAGACTCTTATGGACCGCTGTCCGTCTGACTGCGGGCCACCTGTTGGTCTTTATGACTGGTATCCTCTGACCGTCCGTCTGACTGCCGTCTGTCTGACCGCCAGCCATCTGACCGCTGTACCTCCGGCCGCTGTACCTCGAACCGCTGTCCGTCTGACCGTCTATCTGCCCATCTGACCATCCGCCTGTCCGCTGTCTCAGGTGGGCCGGTCGTCCGAGTCGCCGATCGACTTTGTCGTGCTGGACACCATCCCGGGCGTGAAGGCGGAGGACACGCGCGACAGCAAGGTGGTCCACAGCACCATCAGCAGGTTCGCCTGCCGGCTGCTCGTCAACCGAGCCACCATGCGCGCCAACGTATACGCCGCCGGGTTCGACTCGTCGCGAAATATCTTCCTCGGGGTGAGTGGGCTGGGGAGATAGCCCGGGGGTCGGCTGAGGCCGCCTCCGGTTTAGTGGGAGGGTATCGGTCTGCTGTGACCTGCTTGTGCTGCTTGTGTTGTGAGACAGGTTGTTTAACGATTGAGTCACTGCTCAATCGAGCACCTACTCCAGACCTAGATCAGCACGACTTCCATCAGGTTAGCCCAGTCAGCGACTCGAATGTAGTCCCAATGACAGCCTCAGACGGTTTTTATGGTAGTCCATGGACCTCTGCAGTCTGCGTACCGTTAAACAGAGGTTACGGCTAGTCGCAACTCCACCCTGGCACCCGCAGTGTTTTAACTCTGCCGTGTCCAGTCGCTCAACACTAGCGTCCCCAGCACCCCAGCCTCACTTGACTCATCACGTCCTCCTTCTCCCAGGAGAAGGCGACCAAGTGGGAGACGGACGGCATCATCGACGGCCTCACCACCAACGGCATCCTGCTGATGCACCCGCAGGGCGCGTTCTGCGGCGGCCGCGGCCGGCCCGGCGCCTGGATGGAGGTCTCGGTCGGCGGCGGCATGTACGGCCTGCGCGCCACCCGCTCCGCCGCGCAGAAGGGGCTCAAGGTACGGTATTCTGGAGAGGGGAGGGGCACCGTTCCACTGTACAGAAGGGGCTCAAGGTACGATTTAATGGGGAGTGGAGGGGCACCGTTCCACTGTACAGAAGGGGCTCAAGGTATGCTATGATGGGGAGGGATACCGCTCCGCCGCGCAGAAGGGGCTCAAGGTACGATTTAATGGGGAGTGGAGGCGCACCGTTCCACTGTACAGAAGGGACTCCAGGTACGGTACAATGGGGAGGTGAGGGTACCGCTCCGCCGCGCAGAAGGGGCTCAAGGTACGGTACACTGGAGAGGGGAGGGGCACCGTTCCACTGTACAGAAGGGACTCCAGGTACGGTACAATGGGGAGGGGAGAGTACCGCTCCGCCGCGCAGAAGGGGCTCAAGGTACGGTATACTGGAGAGGGGAGGGGGCACCGTTCCACTGTACAGAAGGGGCTCAAGGTATGGTACAATGGGAGAGGGGAGGGTTCGCACTTCGCTCCGCCGCGCAGAAGGGGCTCGAGGTACGGTATACTGGAGAGGGGAGGGGGCACGCCTCAAGGACGTGCGGCACGCTGGGTGGAGGAGATGAAAGGAGTCTTCTAGCAGGGACTAGTCTGGATCCCACACAACATTAGGAGTGGGAGGGGTACCGCAGTCCGCCTTATCCCGACCTTAGAAATAAATATGCTGCAGAGGTGCTGGGGAGGCTCGTCTTACGTTTACGTTTATACACTCTGCTCAGGCTAAATTTAATAGTCATACACCTAGCTCTGGGTTTGGACAAGACATCCATCCGTCTGTATGAAGTGTGTGCAGTGTTTGTCTTCTGACTGCGGTCTGTTGACACGGACAGATGGAGGACCAGACGAGCGAGCTGCAGGACGGCACGCTGGTGGACCTGTGCGGCGCCACGCTGCTGTGGCGCTCGGCCGAGGGTCTCAGTCGGTCACCGACCAAACACGACCTGGAGCGGATGGTGGATCAGCTCAACGCCGGCCGACCGCAGTGTCCGGTCAGTGAAGGGGACGGTGTGCGGTCCCCAGTGTCCGGTCAGTGAAGGGGACGGTGTGCGGTCCCCAGTGTCCGGTCAGTGAAGGGGACGGTGTGCGGTCCCCAGTGTCCGGTCAGTGAAGGGGACGGTGTGCGGTCCCCAGTGTCCGGTCAGTGAAGGGGACGGTGGGCGGTTCCCAGTGTCCGGTCAGTGCGGGGACGGTGGACAGTTCCCTGTGCCAGTGAGCGATCCCCAGTGTCCGAGGGCGGTCCCCAGTATCAGCAGACGATAGGCAGTGTCCCAGTCTCCGGTCAGTGGGTATTTGCCAGTGGGCGGCGGGCGGTCCCGCAGCGCTCGGTCAGTCAGCGGACGGTCACTGAGAATGTCCGGTCAGTGGGTGTCCGTGGGCGGCGGGTGGTCCCCAGCGCACAGTCAGGGGACGGTGGACGGTGGGCCCTCTGAGCTTTATCTGTGTCCCTCTCTGACTTCTAACTGTGCCCCTTCCCCTATGGCCGCTCTGAACAGTCTGTGACATAGCCGCTCTGATCGCTCTCTGGCCAGTGGCCGGCCCCTCTGACTGGTTACTGACTGGACGTCATGGCCACTCTCTGACTGTTGTCTGTGAGAGAGCCTATCTGTGACAGAGTCGCCCCCTCTGACCGCCGTATGACTGCTCCGCCCCCCTCTGACCGCCGTGTGACTGCTCCGCCCCCTCTGACCGCCGTGTGACTGCTCCGCCCCCTCTGACCGCCGTGTGACTGCTCCGCCCCCTCTGACCGCCGTGTTTGTTTGTTTGTTTGTTTGTCGTTTATTCATGATTATGGGCATGGACAATGGACAGAAATAAAGTTGAATTGGTGCAAAAGCATAAACTTATTACGAGGCACCTCTTCAACAAAACAAAACGAAACAGAGCATCACCGAAATAAACACACACACACACACCAGGTCCCACGCGCAACCCCGCCGCCCCGACAGACCTTGCGACCACTACAGCTGGACCACACGCGCTCCGCCAGCCTGCGGCCTCCTCCCTAACTTTGTACGGCGGCCCGTCTGGCCAGACCGGGACGGTGCCGTTCCATGGCATATGCCGTCCCGGCCCCGGGGAGAGCTGTGGGATACCTCCCCGGGCCGGGGAGATCTGGTGGATACCTCCCCGGCGCTCCAGACGGGCCGCGAGCCCCCGCCCGCACCCCCGGAAAATCATCTTTCCCGGGGTTGCCCCCTAACCACCGCCCGGGCGAGGGGAGCGCCGAGGCCGACCCGACCCGACAGGCCGGCGCCCTCTGTGTGACTGCTCCGCCCCCTCTGACCGCTGTCTGTGACAGAGCCGCCCCCTCTGACCGCTCGTTCTGACTGCTCCGCCGTCCGCCAGGTGGGTCTGAACACGCTGGTGATCCCGCGCAAGTCGGCGGCGCCCGCCACGGGTGACGGTGATCCGTGGGTGTACCTCAACTGTGGCCACGTGCAGGGCCGCCACCAGTGGGGCCACGAGCACGGCACCGACTCACTCACCTGCCCAATGTGCTTCAAGGTGAGCGAGCGCACCTTGGGTTCAAGGCTCAGTTCAAGGCACCTTCAAGGCTCAGACGCCGCCAAACAGTGCAGGCAGCTCATCATTTAGTCGACACAGCTCAGTTCGTTTTGTGTCAAATATCAACTATTTATGTGAACTTAAATCGTGCAAGCCTAGTTCGCCCCAGATGTGACTGTCTTTCTTTGAAAAACCGGTATCTGTGTGGCAAGACTGAGTCCATTTATTTGGTACCGTGCAGCAACTCCTGTGCGATGACATAAAGTCCAGTGTGCTGTCGAATGGTTGGTGTTGGACGCTTTCTGGATACTTATCTTCTTGAATCGTTCATGTACCAATGTTATGTTCCTTCTCGTTTTCTCGCTTTCGCTTGTCCGGACCGCTGTATGCGTCTGTGCAATGTGCATGTTTGCGTGTGTCTGTGTAGTAATTGTTTATTGCGTATTTGTCTGTCTGTATGAGGCGTCGTGTGTTTGGCTTTGTATCTGACATGTGTCTGTCTGTGTTGCTGTCCGGCTAATTCCCGCTCTGTATGTCTGTGTGACTACGACTGCCCGTCTAACCCTGTCAGTTGTGTCCGTCTGTGTGTCTGTCTAACCCTGTCCTGTATATCCCCACAGACGGGCTCCGTGGTGCGCCTCTGTATGGGCATGGAGCCGTGCTTCCATGTGGACTGCGAGCGGCCGACCCACGCGTTCAGTCCGTGCGGCCACATGGCCTCGGAGGCCACCGTGCGCTACTGGTCGGCCGTCATGATCCCGCACGGCACCAATGGCTTTCACTCCATGTGCCCGTTCTGCGCCACGCCGCTGAGCGCCGTCACGCCGCACGTGCGCCTCATCTTCCAGGACAACCTGGACTGAGCGGCGGCCGGCGGCGGCCACCCACAGCAGGACTTCTTGCCAGCGCCAGCCGACCGAGAGGGGTGAGCGCGGCGAGCACCACATGTGCCTGCGGCCGGCGCGCTGTGAGCGGGCCGCCGCGGCAGGACGGCCGGCGCGCGCGCCGCAGACTATTTTTAGATGACCATTGGCGTGGTGCGATCGCCCCGCGACTGGGGCGGTGTGTGATGAGCGCTCCGCTCCGGCCGGATCGGCCGAGAGCGGCATGTGCGGCGCCCAGCGCCCTGCAGTTCGTGGCCAGTGGCCGGCGGCCGGAGAGAGACGGGTGAGGCGCCGGCCGGCCGGCCCAGCCACCCAGAGGCTGCGGCCTCTCCCCGGCCCACCCACCGTGCGACCGCGGTGCACGGTACCAGTGAGCACCTCAGACTGTGTGTGTGAGTGTGTGCTGTTCATACGCTCCTAAGCTCGTGTGTATGTGTGTGTATTCGTGCGTGTGTGGCGGTGTGAGTCGCGCCCGGCTGGCGGGGCCTCAGCCGGCCGCTCGGAGCCGTCACCAGAACGGGGCGGACCGGGGACGGCGGCCGGGCCGCGCGACTCCCAGACAATGAGCCGCGCTAAACGAGCGGCATTTATCTGTACATGCTGATGCGAATAAACTGAAAACTGACTCAGCTCGGTTCATGAATGAGTGATTTCTGGATGCAGGGATGATAAGCTTAGTTTTTTTTAATCAACATTTTGAAAATTACTACGATGCTGCTTTGAACTTTTTAGGGATATAGATATCGCCTTCCGAGCCGTGCATTGCATGTATTGTTGTTTATACGAGCCCGGGTTGGAGTCGCTCTGGCGCTCGGTATTATGAGCCTTCTGGCGGGATGGGCTGCGGTTGGGAGCAGCCGCAGCTCAGCCAGCTGAAGCTAGTTGAGTGGGACAGGCCGTGTCTGGCTTTGAAGGGCACGTTAACCCGGCAGGCGGTGGGCCTCCCAGCCACCTTCCGCGCGGTGGGGGGGGGGGGGGCATTTTTTTGCCCCCCCTCGTATCTCCGAAACTACTGGACGGATCCGGAAAATTCAAACGGCGTTCGATAGCCCTGTCAAATCTTGTTAAAGGAAACCAAGTTTCATTGACCTCGGGGTCACCGATGACGTCACAGGTCAGGTCAAAGATGAAATGTTTCACCGTTCACGGGGCTTCTAGGGAAAGCGCTATAACACCGAGTAAAACGCATTTTGTCGAAAATCAGCGATAAGGCGTCAGTTGTCTAGTACATATGTTGCTATTAGAGGTCACTGGCATACCAGGTCAGGTCACAGGTCAGGTCACCAAAGGTCACCAAGGGTCACCACATGAACCCAACTTTACTAAGGTTGTGCGATGCATGTTTTATGGCCAGTTTTTCATTTCCAACTCAATGGTATTGGCTATTAGACCATCAGGTACGGTTTAGGTCACTTTCTGGTGGAGGTCAGGTCAAGGTCAGGTCAAAAAAGGTCAAATTTCAAACTTGATATTTTTGCATAAAATGGGTAACGATTCGATGCAGCTCGTCACGGGGAGTCTAATGGTAGTCTTTGTTTTGCGCTACGAGGTCTAGAATTGCTAAAAATTGAGTTTGAAAATTTGACGTCAACAATTTTGAACAGTTTTTTTTTCGCTATAACTTAGCCAAAAAAAGAGGTATTGATCTCAAATTTGGTATGTAGATAGAAGGCTGTAGGGACTATCACATATATTCCGGTTTTTTCGAAATTCAAAAAACTTTTTGGATTTTTTGGCTATTAAATTCAAAAAATCAATTTTTTAATTTTTGGGGGTCAAAATCCAAAAAATTCGAAAAACCGAAATAGCAGTTTTGTAGCCCTCTTGATTCCACACCTTTTATGTCTGAAACATTTTTTCTGTATCTCTAAAGCTGTAGGCCTGACAGCTCTTCCCGCGAAACCTTTTTTGGGGTCGAAAATGGCAAAAATGACGTCACTCTTACGTCATTAGCGGCGAACCTATCATAGCCCTTTGAAAAATTTTTGGTCACCATGTGCGCTAGCTACTCCCGGGAGGGTACTGAAAGTTTGGTGACGATCGGCGCAGTGGTTCTCGAGATATATCGAAAAAACTAAAGGGGAGGCAAAAAAATGCCCCCCCCCCACCGCCTGGGCCCGATTTCACCAAGTGAATATATTCCATTACGGCGGCGTACATATTCACTTTTGGCATATTAGGACATATTCAGTTTCACCAAACTTCGTAATGGGATACTTATTCAAGACCAAGACAAAGTATGACTGCATAAGTCCGTCGTTTTTTGGCATACTATTACATTTGAGGTACCTCTGGTACGCCGATCTGCTTTTTCAACAGCTGTTTGCCGAGTTTGCTGGCATTGAAAGTATGCTACTTTTTGTGGCATACTTTGAGAAACAGCTTGGCATATATCAATTTTTTTGCATGATAATGTTACAAATTTAATGACTTCGTCGATACAACGTATGATAAAAAACATGCCACTGGCTACGCAAAAAGTTTTAGAGGTCATAATGGTTATTTCTTGCTGGATATATAGGGTATCATGTGTCAGGGCTCATATTGAAATTAAACCCCAGAACAGCTATTTTTATAAGGCTTATCTCATCGTGGGATCACTGCGATTAAAATCACCCCATCATGCAGAAACACAACAGGGAATTCCTTTTTTCATTCGCATTCCCGATTACATTGAGTTTTCCACTTAAAAAAGAACGACAGTTCACAATGTATTTTGATAACACAAAAGTCCAAAAGCGTTTCAAATCTTTCTCACCGTGATTATTACACCGTGCTCTTTATAGGGTAAGTGGCTCCTATGACGCACACTTCCTAAAAGCGCACACCAAGAACTTTTTTAATGTAGTTCCTTCAGCAGAAGCCAGGAACGAAAAAATCAGCTGTCAATCACTTCCAGCGACATTTGTGCTGCGTGTGGACGGCCGTGGGGTGTTGTCGGCTCAAAAGGTGAGTAGTTATGGCGGATATTGTGATTGAGGTGCAATGTTTCTTCAGCAAAAAAGTGCCTGAAGCAATAATGCATGTTTTAAGACGCATGCACTTCTCGCGTAAACCTGAATAGGCCGGAAAGATCGATGGGCACTGACCGGATGGCAATGAAACGGGACTCAGTTTAGGCGTGTATGCTTTTCCCAGAATGCGTCAGTGCTGACGGGAGGGGGCTGAATGTCAGGTGTGCGTGTTTAGGGCAACTGGTTCTGCAATGACGCACACTTTCAGTGCTGCAAATGCGCACAGTACATCTGATGATTATCTAGCCTTCTTTCTTAGAAGGAACAGCTTATATCACGATGAACTGACATGTTAGGCATTGGCACAGTGTAGAATGCGGCATTGAGCTCCACTCCCGGCGGTGGAGCTGGCAAAACGGCTTTGCGCAACTGTTAATTATTTCGTTCCAGCTCACCAGCTTAGAAATATCGGCAGGTGAAGCCGGCCCGGGCGCTCGGCTGGTGACGCCGGGCCCGGGAGCTCGGCAGGTGACGCCGGGCCCGGGCGCTCGGCTGGTGACGCCGGGCCCGGGCGCTCGACTGGTGACGCCGGGCCCGGGAGCTCGGCAGGTGACGCTGGGCCCGGGCGCTCGGCGTGTGAAGCCAGGCCCGGGCGCTCGACTGGTGACGCCGGGCCCGGGAGCTCGGCAGGTGACGCCGGGCCCGGGCGCTCGGCTGGTGACGCCGGGCCCGGGAGCTCGGCAGGTGACGCCGGGCCCGGGCGCTCGGCTGGTGACGCCGGGCCCGGGCGCTCGGCAGGTGACGCCGGGCCCGGGAGCTCGGCAGGTGACGCCGGGCCCGGGCGCTCGGCTGGTGACGCCGGGCCCGGGCGCTCGGCTGGTGACGCCGGGCCCGGGAGCTTGGCCGATGGAACATCTCGTGCTGACTCCGTATCCATGCGGGACGACGAAGAACTAGATAGAAGTCTGCATGACGTGATGCCAACCCCTCGCGTGCAGAGGAAAGGTAAGCGAAGGGCAGTTAATAGAAATGCTGTGCTGGTAAAGAGGGCATTGTTTGAGTCCGACGGTAACAAGGAAAAAAACAAAGAAAACAGCCAAACATGGACACGTGAAAATAAAACAGGTAAAGCCCAATGAAGACTAGTCATCAGGAAGTGAGACGACATGCATATACTGCTGCATGAAGTTCTCACGATCGTGTGAAGATTGGATACAATGTCAAGTGTGCACTGGCTGGGCATGCGTGCCATGCACTGACGCTGAAACAAAACAGACAAGTTTCACTTGTGACCTCTGCCGACAGTACATACTGAGTCAGTGAAAAGGTTTCGAGTTCATGATGCGTTCATGATGCGTTCAGGTTCATGGTGTGTTTCATGATGTGTCGAGTTCAAAGTTCATGATGTGCTCATGGTGTTCAACTTTAAAATAAAGTGATTTGATCAATACCTCGACATGTCTATTAAACCTGTTGGAATTGTTCTTGTGCGCATTTGAGGCAGCTGAATGTGCGTCATAAGAGCACCGGTGCTCTATTAGCGCACGTCGGACATTGGTGGATGTTTTGCCTTATATGTCATAAGTGATGAAGGAACGCTGGAACGTAAAAGTCAAATCAAGAAAGCAAATGCTTATGAAAACTGCTTGTGACCATTTTATCAGCAAAACAGGTTTCAGTAAGTCTCAAAAGCAGTTTTCCTACTAGGTGTGCGTGATAGGAGCCACTTACCCTACAGCGTTTTACCGAAGAGGAAGTAAATAGCTGGTGAGGGCGAGAGGAAGAACTGAAGTCCAGTCCAGCCAGCAACGCCTTGATTGACATGCCCAGCATGTTGCATCACAAGTCACAACGCTTCATTACATTCGTTTTCATCGCCCACTTTTACTATTTCTTTGCAGTACCCATATGCTGTCCAATGTCCATATTTCTCTTGTGTTGTGGCCAAATGATTCAATTTATCACCGGCTTCCCGCTTCCGTTCAGGTTCAGTCTGCCGAATGATTCCGAAATATTCTCCATATTTGAAGTCGTCGGTAGCCCCTTCGATTATTTAAAACTTGATTCAATTAATATTTCAGATAACTTGTCGGCTAGTCTGCCGTGCTCCTTGCTATCATCAGTGATCGGTAGTTAGATAGGTGCCTCAGGTAATGCCATTTCTTGTTCGGCTTTATTTATATTTGCTCTGAACCACCCCAGAATTGCGTAGAAGATGTGAACAAATATTAAAGCAATATTTAATGAGAAGTAACTTGGAAGAAAAATTAATATAAATTCAAAATCCAATAAAACTCACACACGCCAGTAACTTGAACTGTGCTGCGCGGCTTGCTGCCGATTGTTTACATTTTTGGCTTGGGAATGTCATGCTCCAAGCAAAAATCAAGAGCATTATTAGCAATATTTGTTTAGGTACTTCCTCTTGTATGATCAGCAAATTTAATTCTTATTAGCGTAGCTAGAATTTTTTTCATAATATTGCATATCTAAGCATTTAAGCTCGTCGACTTTAAATGCGGGAAAATATAGTGACTGCATGTCCCCGACAAGATGTATGCATGCGTGCCGGTGGCTCTCAAAGTACGTAAAGCGGGCGTAGTGAATATATTCCTGTGGTGAAACAGAATAGTATTATCGTCGTACTTTGTGGGTGTACTTTTCCAAAGTACACCAAGAATATATTCAC